AACTCTAGCTTTAATCCATTGTAACACATATGCCAGTCTAGTCACAATACAATGGGTGATTAGTTCTGTCTCTCATATTAGGAGGAGATTCCAGAAGCAACTCAGGTCTAGAGGAGGAGAGAAGAGAGCTAAGGACAAGGGTGAGCAACTCCACTATCTTAGCAAGCCTGGAGTTCTGTATGACCCTCCCACATAGTCCCCCACTGCAACTGAGGCAAGGCTAGTTGCACCTGCTCTTCCCATTCCAACTCACATGAAAGGCAACAGAGAGCACTTCCTGTCTACTTTTACCTCTTAAAATGCTATTAAGGGCTAGGGAGGTGGCTCAATAGATGAAATACAAGCCTTCCCAAGTGTGAGCACTGGAGATGGGATCCCTAGAAAAACTGAGCAGTTGCAGAGGTAGCCTATCATCCCAGGAAGGCAGAAATAGGATCCTCTGGACAAGCTGTTAGCAAGCCAAATCAGTGAGCTCTGGGTTCAGCAAGAGGCTCTGCCTCAATGAGCAAAGAAGAGAGTAATCCAGGGAGATACCCAATATTAGCCCCAGACCTGCACATGTATACACACACATTTTTTTTTCTTAAATAATATGTGTAGCAATGGGGTTCAGCACTGTGGTACAGTGTTTGCCTAACATGTACAAGACCTTGGGTTCTAACCACAACACCAAGAGAACAATTCTTGCTCCTATTTGCTGAGCATCATGAAGAGTGCGGTGGGAGATGCTGCTTTGTGGTTGCCCCTTAGTACCACATCCTGGCTGGGGACACTAATACTTTGCTCAGCTAATATTTAATCCATAAGATTTTTCTATCTCTGCACTCAGAAGAAACTTTCCATTTTCTTTTCTTAAGCTTGGTGGGCAAGAAGTGTAATAAAGCTGAGACCAATGACATTGTCCACTGTTGAAAACCCAGATTTATTTTAAATAGACAAACTGCATATTTGGTATATGTGTGTCCTGAAGCAAATCTACTAACTTTTATACTTTGAGCTCTTCATAAGTTAAATACTAAACTATTACCTTGTTCCCCTGGAAGCTATGCAAATTAACTAATGCTTGGAAAATGACTTGAAATTTAAATGTTTATAAACAGCAGAGAGAGGAATTCTTCCTGCTGAGGGGTCAAGTAATCCACAACCTCCCATGATCAAGGTAAAAAAGTGTACTTGTGCTATACAATTAAGCGTGACTTATATGCAGCTCATATGAGCTTTAAAATCTAAACCCCACTAAACAGAATCAATTCCTGTTTTATAACTACAATAAGAACATTTCTGACCCCAAGAACAGTGGTTATCTGTGTGACTAATTATCTGTGTGACATTGCACCTTTGTCCTTTGATGAGTTTTCAACAATTTGTTCAGTGTTCAGACTTAACCTGGTACTATGGCTGAAGTGCTTTTCTTTAAATCCTTCCAGTTTGCTTTTATAACCTCCAGACTCTTATTTATTTCCTGGGAAATCTGCTTTGCACAACTTTGCTGTATTCAAAACCTCCTATGTAAAGATTTAGTACTTTTATATTGTAGTCATTAAAATTGAACAAAATCTTAATAGTTCCTTTATTAACTACTATACCGCATTTGCATAGTGGAAATCACCACATGTTAATTGGATTTAATTAACTATTTTAAATTACACAAAATCCTGACAGTAGACAGTAGCACAGGGTACTCATGAGCAATAAAATTGGAGATGGTATTGCTACTTTATTAAAACTTAATGAAACTATTCATAATCTAATTTATTGTTCACAAGGAAAAAAAACGTGTTCATTGTGAAGGCAAAAATGTCAGCTAACAACAGCTGTTTTTTTTTCACCTAGGAGAAGGTTCAGCGGTTAATAAAAGGGTCCACAATATCCAACCTCACGGTTCTGCCATCTTCTCATCGCACTGATCCCCATTTCATTCCCATTCCCATCTTGCAAAAGGATGCTAGTAAAGGTTAGTGATTGTGCAGCATGTTACGTTTAGGGATGCGAAAGTTAGAGCCTTGAGCATGATCAGGGCCCTGAGTTGGATACTAGCTCAGTCACTAATTTTCCTAAGTGACCCTAGACAAGTCAGACCTCACCTGGGCTTAGTTTCACCTTGGACTAAGCGATCACCAGAGCTTCTTCCACTTCTAGATCCACCATTTCATGATTTTAATATTGACGTATATATTGGTGCTATGTATTAAGATTGTTATATTGCTAACGTGATATTATTAAAAGTTACTGTTTTCTAAGTGGTTTCTGATGCTCTTCTGATTGTCTTTAATGTTATTACAGAATACTGCTGTGCAAAAGCACAAAGCCAGAAATAATATAACTATTGATTTTTTAATTTTTACTACTTATTAGTTTATATGTATGCATGATTAATCTCTTGGAGGCTAGAAGAGGGCATCAGATCTCCTGGAACTGGAGTTCCAAGTGGTACTAGGAATTAAACATGAGTTCTCTGAAAACAGCTACTACTCTTAGCCACAGAGCCATCCCTCTATGTGAGTTTTAATTTAAAGTCTACTATTACAAACTATTGGGTTTTTAATAATAAAAAAAGATTGTATCATCTTTACCTCAGGATTCACAGTGCCCAGGACTGTATTAGAGTTTTGTAGGTAAAAAATGTGAATTGAATGAATAAATAAACAAATTAAAGGACTACATAGATGAATGAGGATTCGATATCTACTATAATCCTTAGTTTTCCCTAGATCATTTGATTGGCTAAAGTGTTGAAGAATGGCTATCTTAAACATAGTGGAGTAAGATGGCCGTGAGTTATTTGTAGTCTCACTTCCTGTCTGTTTGGAGTATTCAGGACCCAGAGTTGTTTTCAAACCATTCTTGTGATACCTAGAGATTCAAGATCCTCTCGTGTCTAGCTCTTGTGTCTTGCCTACTGACCTCTGTCTGCTGGTGGTGAATACCCCAGAATGTAATGAGTCTCTAAATTTGTTAAGCTTCCCATAGCTTTAATTATTTCTTTTTTAGCAGCAAGAAGTCTTGTGGCATCCACCTTATGGTAGCTTACGTACTGCTGACGTCCCAGGAACACTAAGTAACAGAAATAACCTAGCATTTCTTGCTTCAGTGTCATCTCCTGCCTGGATGGAATTAGTATGAGTGAATGAATGATCCTTGCTTTAGCAGATGAAAATAACCAAGACCAAGGTGAATCTAGGATCAAGGCCATTTGTGCATATAGACAGAAGTTACATTTTTATTTCTAAAGCAACCAAAGAACACATGATCTATCATATATGTAATTAGTCAACCAATTAGTCCTCATGGAATACTTGCCATATGTCTAGTTATTGTACAACAAAATATTAGTGTCGGGAAAGCACAAGTCACAGAAATACGGTGTGGAATTTTCGGGTATTTTGGTGCTCTTAAGTGACATTTAAGAGCCGCTCCAGGTCTGCACAAGACTAGCATGAGATGAAAGATGAACAATATCCACATGAAAAAGATTTCCTAGTTTTTCTAGAATTGTCTGGCAAACTCTAAGAAATAAAGCTCCCCACAGAGTCAGTGGGTGAGAATACAAGTTTCTTGGTACACAGACCAGAATCTAGTTTCATACCTGGAAGGCAGGCATAGCTCTTACACATGGGATTTGGGATGAATTATGAAAAATATTAGGAAGGACAAATTCTTTTTCTTACTATTTTAAAATACAGAGATCCTTCAGTTCTAATGATAAGTTGAAACCTGACTGACTTCATAGAGGGTTTAAAGTTGTAAGCATAGAACAGAGGATGGACTGGAGTGCTGGCTAACATGGATCGTCATACTCACACGTCAGGGCACATACTTGTCTTGAAGCAGCCTCAAGACTTCATATCCTCAAGCTCTGATTTTGAGTTTTCGGACAGGTCTGGGTCAAGGATCAGAAATCTCCACCTTCAATAAGAAAAAACAACAACAACAAAAAAAAAAACCCTCTCACAAATGACTGTGTTGTATGTAAACGGAGAGTTTTCTTTGGAATGAATCTTTTCTAGGTGGAGTCTTCAGTTTTCCAGCCCATCAGTGGTCCTTCTGACTTCCTGTGACACTGAGATAACATTTCTAATAACAATATACTGTCCCCATGAGGCTCCTGAAGCAAGAGCAAACAGTATCCCTTCCTAGGAGTGCCAGTTTCTTCAGCTTAGCCCAGCTTGGTTTTAGTTTGTGTACTAGGTATTTGTTGGAAGTGAAAGTTGTTCACTTTTCTTTCTATTGGGCAAGGGCACAGCAAGAATCAGAAGTCCCAGCCCAAGTTTGTTGCAGGTAGTCCCCAAAGTTCTGGATTTTTGACGTCGAAATAGTAGTTGCACTCTGAGGAAAGCTCTATCCTTGACAGCAGGCTTTGTTCAATTGTTTGCCCATTTACTTGTTTAACAAAGTGCCTCGCCCTTAGAAAGACCTGGCTGCAGCCTTACTGATGACAAGAAACTGCCCAATGAACATGTTGCCCTAATAGAATCAAATATCCAGTCTGGCTTTCATAACTGCTGATGATATGATCATATCTAAAGGTAATTCCTTCATTTACAAAGTATGAGTGATTAGAACAGCAGGCACACAGGTTCAAGTATATAGATTTTATTTCTTTCAGAACAAAAGATCATCTTTGCTTTAAGAATGTGTGCCTCACATCCCCGAATTTCAAAAAGAACAATAAAATCACCAGTGATTGAAAATTCTCTAAGTGTAAGGAAGTTTTAGTTGTCTTGAAATTATATTTCTACCTAAAAATGAAATTATCTTAGTGCTATTTGATTTCATATTACTGCAATTGGAAATGATTTTCCCCTTGGGTTAGAATATTAAGCTTAAAGTGTACTGTAGCTATTTTTCATGCAAAAGATTAAGGCACTAGAATGTACCTTTACAAATAAGATGATAAATGATGTCAAGTTACCATTGTGAAATTCACAGAGCTCAGATTTCAGAATTGCTTAAACTAGTGTTTTGTTGTTCTCTTAACCTTCCTTTTAGGGATCTTAAGTATGATAGAACGAGGGCTGATTCCCCCAACAGCAAGGATTACCTTTCAGAATCCACCCATTAAACCCCAAGCAATTCATCTGCATAGTTTTGATGAGCCACGTAAGATTCCAGCAGAAGGTAAGACATCATGCCTGTGGGTTTAGCTGGGGGTTCTTCAGGAATGGTCTCCCTCTCCCAAACCCAGACTCTGCCAGTGGACAGCTTTAATCATCAATAATACACAGGATGAGAGTTTAAAGCATCTTGAGGTTATCTGAGTAAACAAAGCAGCTCAGAATATCCACAGAGAGCCTGTGCCAGTGTGTTAGAGAGTTGAGAGCCTGTGCCAGTATGTTAGGGAGTTGAGAGCTTGTAGACTGTGTTAGAGAGTTGAGAACCTGTGCACTGTGTTAGGGAGTTGAGAGCCTGTGCCAGTATGTTAGGGAGTTGAGAGCCTGTGCCAGTATGTTAGGGAGTTGAGAGCTTGTGGACTGTGTTAGAGAGTTGAGAACTGTGCACTGTGTTAGGGAGTTGAGAACCTGTGCACTGTGTTAGGGAGTTGAGAACTTGTGGACTGTGTTAGAGAGTTGAGAACTGTGCACTGTGTTAGGGAGTTGAGAGCCTGTGCACTGTGTTAGAGAGTTGAGAGCCTGTGCACTGTGTTAGGGAGTTGAGAACCTGTGCACTGTGTTAGGGAGTTGAGAGACTGTGCACTGTGTTAGAGAGTTGAGAACCTGTGCACTGTTAGGGAGTTGAGAGCCTGTGCACTGTGTTAGAGAGTTGAGAGCCTGTGCACTGTGTTAGGGAGTTGAGAGACTGTGCACTGTGTTGGGGAGTTGAGAGCCTGTGCACTGTGTTAGGGAGTTGAGAGCCTGTGCACTGTGTTAGAGAGTTGAGAACCTGTGCACTGTGTTGGGGAGTTGAGAGACTGTGCACTGTGTTGGGGAGTTGAGAGCCTGTGCACTGCGTTAGGGAGTTGAAAGCCTGTGCACTGTGTTGGGGAGTTGAGAGCCTGTGCACTGTGTTAGAGAGTTGAGAACCTGTGCACTGTGTTAGGGAGTTGAGAACCTGTGCACTGTGTTAGGGAGTTGAGAGCTTGTGGACTATGTTAGAGAGTTGAGAACCTGTGCACTGTGTTAGGGAGTTGAGAGCCTGAGCACTGTATTAGGGAGTTGAGAGCCTGTGCACTGTGTTAGGGAATTGGGAACCTGTGCACTGTGTTGGGGAGTTGAGAGTCTCTGCAGGGTGTGTTAGAGAGTTGGTGCTTTCAAGAGGATTTAAGTTTGCTTGGGGAAACAAGGCAAAATAGTAAAAAATTAAAATATAAAGCAGGACAAGTTTGAAAAAATGATGTATTATTTGTTGTTTGAATGTCCTTTTATGAAGTGATCTAGGGTGTTGGTTTTTTTTATTTGCAACTGTTTTGTCCTTCTGTTTTTAGTAAACATATTACTTGTATATTCACGGTACAAATTTTTTATGAGTTCTATGTATAATTTTCCTACTCTGTGACTTGATGTTTTATTATCCTTTATAATATCTTTTTAAGATGAAAGTTTTATTGAAATAATTATATACCCACATGTATTTATAAGAACTAATAGAATTATTTGCATGCTTTCCCCAAATAATAACAAAGTGAAATATTATAGTATGATATCACCATCAGGATATATATTGCTTGTACTGAGGACCAGACATAGGGCATTGTCCATGGTCGGCAAGCACTCTACCACTGAGCTAGGTGCTAACCCTCAGTCAGGATACTGATTCCGTCAAGACCGGAATATTTTTATCACCAAAGGCTACAGCCCTATGAACTTCTCTCTAAACCCCTTTAATCCCTGGCCTTCCAAAAATCTGTTCTTCATTGTATAATTTTGTCATTTCAAAACTGTCACATAAATGCACTCATAAGAGTATGTAACCTTTGGGTTCGGTATTTCTCCACTAAGGGCAATCTTCAGGAGAATCCTCCAGGTTGTAGCTTTTTTTTTGGGGGGGGGGATACATTCTGACATTTCCATGAATACAATATACTTTAGCCATATTCACTTCTTTTATTACTCTGTTGTTCCCACCCCCTTCTCTTTCCCTTTCTACACCAATAGTTATCTCCCTTTGATCTTCCTATCTTTCCCCTCTCCTAACTACTCCTACATATGAGAAAATTAGAAAATACTTGTGTTTATGGAAAATAGGCAGGTCCCATGAATTTTCCAGCAAATGGTGTGATTGTCTTAATAGACCCCATTGTCTGTGTGTGCTTATTTATTTATTTAAATCTAAGCCAAGCTGATTCAAGGATTCAAGGAGAAACAGGCATATCTATAGTAAACTGATTTTGAGTCCTTTGTTTATATGCCAACATGTGATACGGCTGAATCATATGGAACTTAGATGTTTCATCGTTTCCACACTAGTTTCCATAGTGTGGATTAATTTACATCATCACAATTGTGAATCAGTGTTCCCTTTTCCTCCCTGGATCCTCTATAGCATTCATTGTGAGACACTGAGCATTCTTTTCTTTATTAGCGGGACACTGGTACTTCTTTGGAGATCATCTTTTCAGCTTAATTTCCTATCTATTCACTTGAGTATTTACTCCTTGGTTAATCCTTGGAGTCCTTTATATACTCTAAACATGGCCCTCCTACTGGGTGGACAGCCAACAAATCTTTTATCCTGTTCTAAAAGGTTTCTTTTCACTTGCTGATGTTTCTTCTTCAGGGACAAGGCTTTTCAATTTTATGTAATCACATTAATGTTTTGTTATTATTTCTTGAAATATTGGCTATTTAAAAAGCCTTTGCCCATGCTTAGATCTTGAAGTGTTTTTCCTGTTTTTCTCTAGAACGCTCAGAGTTTCAGCTACTACCTTTAAGTCTTTGGTCCATTTTGGTTTAGTTTTTGAACAGCATGAGAGGTGAGGCTTTAGTTTCAGTCTTCTATATATGGACATCTGGTTTTCCCATCATTTGGTAAACAGGTTGTCTTTGTTTCCAATACATATTTTTTGGTATCTTTGTCAAGAATCACATAGTTATAACTTCTTAGGCTTATTTCTTGCTCTTCTTTTCTATTTTAAAAATATAGCCGGGCGGTGGTGGTGCACGCCTTTAATCCCAGCACTCGGGAGGCAGAGGCAGGCGGATCTCTGTGAGTTCGAGGCCAGCCTGGTCTACAAGAGCTAGTTCCAGGACAGGAACCAAAAAAAAACCAAACAAACAAAAAAAAAAAAGAAGAAACCCTGTCTTGAAAAATCCAATATATGTGTGTGTGTGTGTGATATACATGTGTTTTGTGTTTGGGGGCACATGTGTGAGCAGGTGCACATGTGTGCATGTAATGTGTCTTCCTCAGTTTCACTCCACTTTATTTACTGAGGCATGGTTTCTCACTGAACATAGTGCTGACGATCCCACTGAGTCTAACTGTAGCTCATGAGACCCTGTCTCTGTATCTTGACTCCTGGGATTATGGGTAGTCACCATGTCTCCACAGCTTTTATGAGTTCTAGGAATCAAACTCCCACTCTCATGCTTGCTGAGCAAGTACTTTATCCACTGGCTCATCTTCCCAGCTCCTTTGCTTTCTATTGGGTAGAACAATGCTGTTTTAGTTATGCCTCTGGAGTACAGTATACAGTCAGGTGTTGTGATATGTCTAGGATTAGTGGTTTTGCTTAGACTTGGGGGCAAACTAAGGCCTACTTCTGTGAAGAATGTTACTGGCATTTTGATGGAAATTGCATTGAATCCATACTTCACTTTTGGTAATATGACCATTTAAACAATGTTAATTCTGCTGTTTGTTTTTTAATTAGCATAAATAGAATTAGTTTTCTGGCTTTTTTTTTTAAACCTCAATGATCTGTTGTTGGGATCTAGAAAAGATTAGCTGGGCGGTGGTTGTGCACGCCTTTAATCCCAGCACTCAGGAGGCAGAGGCAGGTGGATCTCTGTGAGTTTAAGGCCAGCCTGATCTACAGAGTGAGTTCCAGGACAGCTAGGACTACACAGAGAAACCCTGTCTCAAACCCCATCCCCCGCAAAGGAAAGAAAATCTACTAGGTTTTGTGTGTTGATTTAGTACCATTCTACTTGTTGAAAGTTTTTTTTTTTAAATCAGAACAAGAATCTTCTGATAGAGTCCTTTATGTATATGCTCAAATCTGAAAATATGATTATTGGACTTTTTATTTCCTAACAACAACCCTTTTATTTCTTCTTGCCTTACTGCATTGAGTAAGAATTCAAGAACTATACAGAGTGAGAATGGGAAGAGTTGATCACCTTGTCTCTTCCCTGATTTTAGTTTTCTCACACTCCTTGTATCATTAGGTTATGTAGCCCACATGTAGCCTCTATTATGGCGAGGTATGCTCATTCTCTTCCTAGTTTCTTCAGAGCGGTGGTGGCGCACGCCTTTAATCCCAGCACTCGGGAGGCAGAGGCAGGCGGATCTCTGTGAGTTCGAGACCAGCCTGGTCTACAAGAGCTAGTTCCAGGACAGGCTCCAAAACCACAGAGAAACCCTGTCTCGAAAAACCAAAAAAAAAAAAAAAAAAAAAAAAAAAAAAGATTTTGAACTTTGTCAAAGGCTTTTTCTGTGTGTATTGAAATAACTACAGGACTTTTATCTGATTATGTTTATATGCTGTATTACATTTAACTAACACATATGTTGTCCCCTCTTTGCATTCAGAATGAATCTGTCTTGGTCATGATATGAATTCTTTTTAATATTTTGTTGAATTCAGTTGAAGCTCGTTGCGATAATTACCCATGTACTGCTAAGTAATGTTCCATGTTAGCATGCTGCAGCTGCTAAGCTGTGCACCTGTTGAAGGAAACGGTCATTTCAAGCTTTCTGCAGTTCTGAGTCAGCGCCTATAAACATGAGTGTGCAGGCGTTGTATGAAATGAGTGAACTCACTCTTTGGATGAATCCTTAGGTGTGTGATTGCACATGCGCTCTCCTCTTTTTGGATCAATGTGTAGGCATGCGATCCCTGTGTCTTAAGGTGTTTTTATGTCTGCTTCATCTACCTACATTTAGATTCATACCAGGAAGTGTTAAAGAGTTTTGGTTCAACCATCAAAAATAATGTCTAGATGCAAAAGGAAAAAGAA